AAAAGGAAAACCCCAAAAAAAGGCCTTTTTAAACCCATTTTTCTCCCCCAAAAACCCAAATTTCCCACCACCATCTTTTTTTTTTTTTTTTTTTTTTTGTCTTTTTGTCTTTTTCCGTGTCCGGCAACGGATCGCAACCCTCAGTGTTGCCCCCGTACCGGACCGGGGACCGGCAACGGGATTGCAACCCTCGGTGTTGCTCCCGCGCCTCGCTCAGCCAGTGAGTGGGAACCGGTCTGTATGTGGGATCCGAACCCTCGGGCGGGAGCGTCGCCGCACTTCCCAAGCGGTGCACTATCCAGTGCGCCACCGGGCCGGCCCTCACATCATCATTTCTAATGTCAGACAAATAAGAACAGAGAATGGCCAGAATAAATAAGGAAGAATACAAATGTTGCCAAATTTACCTTCCAATATCCCCTGTTGTAAGAATCAAGGTATCCTTCAACTCATTATTTCTTGATATTTGCGCATGTGTATATGCTTCCTTCATTCTTATTACAAAAAGCTAGAACAATGAAATTAACTGGTTAAAAAAATTTGAGGTAGGTTTATAAAAACCCAAATGTTGAAAATAAAAATTATCAACCTCTTTTATAAATCCATCTTCAGAGTCCAAGGATTCCAATATATGCTTGATATTTCCACTAAAAGCCATTCTAACATCCTTGTCTGTATCTTCCATTAAATTCAACAGGGTTCCAAGAACTGCTTTTACATCTGTTTCATCTTCTCTAAAATCAAGATGCTTACAAAGATGATGTAGATTATCTATAAAAGCTAAAGAGCAAAAGTAGATAAGACCTAATTTAACACATTAAACATCCAAGTTGTACTATAAAAATACTGTCAATAAATAATGTACCACAAAGAATTATAAGCTACCTTATAATGTCAATATTTAATATTTAATTATGTATAGCACACAGAATTTTAAGGGATTAAAATGAGTATTTATAAATTTAAATTTAATTTATACTTAATAAAAGTCATAAATAATTGGAATCAAAGATAAATTCCAGAATTTTTTAAGTTGTAAAATAACTAGTCCCTTTTAGATTTTATAGATCATTATATGTTAATAAGATCAACTCAAAAGCATAATCATTAAACCAAAGAACCTTGAACTGAAGGGGATCGTAAACTTACTGTTAACCTTACTTTACAAAATTTAGAGTCTTAGAAACCACCTACCATCTATTGCTTTGAAAACTTGAGAAACTTTGAAAACTTTGCAAACAAGTTGCAACTACCTAAACAAATACATGAAGATCTTCCAAGTACATCTGTAAATCTTATGCTCCCAACAAACTCATATTTCATTACCAATGGAAAGTGGCCAAGAAGATACAATCTACAGTCCTCAGTTGGGTAAGGTAATTTAACTACTTGAAGTTCTGAAGATCCAAGGTGGTGACAAGACACATTATGAAGGTCTCTGGTATTACTAAGAAGATATAGAATACTGAACCTTATAATATCAAACTAACCATCAGGTATGTCCCATTAGGCTGTGAACTCACAAGAGCATTTCAAAAACCACTCTCTTATTAGTTCTTTCATGCAGTCTAATGCCAGTCATCGCATTTGTAAGTAATTATTACTAAGTACTGAATGTGTCAAACATATAATTTGCTATAATTTTTTAAGGCTTCAGGCTAATTCTGTCACTGATTTGAAAAACAGAGCTTAAAAAGTTTTTTTGGGTTTTTTTTGGTGGCTGGCCAGTACGGAGATCTGAACCCTTGACTTTTGTGTTGTAACACCACACTCTAACCACCTGAGCTAACTGGCTAGTCTGATTTTAAAATATTAAATAAATCATAATCACTGACCAAGTTTTACTGGACTAGGTGTTTTCTTTTTCAGGAGGAAAAGGAACGGCTTGCAAATAGAAGCTTTTAGTCGAGAAGATGAACATTCATGTTGAGAGGTGGCTTTCAGGTTCTTACAGAAGAGGTCCACATGTCCATGTTCAGAGAAAGGTTCTGTTAAAGAACTTGTCAAATAAAACATCCCATGAAGAGTACAGACGAGTTGACCAAGTATAGAGGCAAATTCTTTCTTGACAATGTCAGAATCACCTTCAACTTTATCTCTGGGGGAAAAAAAAAATTACTAAACCTTCTTGCTTAATGTCATGGTCTAAACAGTCTTGCTTAATTTGGGACAAAAGTATGGAGAGAAAGCCTAGAAAAAAAAAACTTAAATTCTTAAACTAAAAGCAACATTTGTTCTATATATTCAGCAATAAACATAACTTTGCATATACAGCCAAAGATTATGATCTTTCCAATCAAGTGATATATTCAAATTAAAATGTTAATACATACATAAGGATCTTGGGAACTCTGTTACAAGAATTTTGCTGCTGCAATAAGATAAAAAATCCATTAACACAACTAGCACGGATTACTTCATGGGAGCTCTGTAGTGCCCAGTTGTAAACTGCTGTTCTCCATTCAAGGAATATTCTTCTTGGAAGCAGAGTTAGAAGAAACACACATCGTGACTGTGCCTGTGGTGCTAAAAAAAAAAAATTAAGTCTTGTTTAATAACAAGATTCCTAACAGTGTTAATTGTACATATATATATATATATATATATATATATATATATATATATATATAAATATATATATATATAATTCCTAACAGTGTTAATTGTACATATATATATATATATATATATATATATATATATATATATATAAGAATATATATATATATACACACACATGCATATACATATATATGTCATAAAGTCAAGCAATATTTAAAATACATATAGGGCCGTCCCATGGCTCACTTGGGAGAATTGTGGTGCTGATAACACCAAGGCCATGGGTTTGGATCCCATATAAGCAGTTAGCTCATGGTGCTGACAACACCAAATCAAGGGTTAAGATCCCCTTACCAGTCATCTTTTAAAAATAAATGAAATAAAATAAAATACATATAATACCTAATTTAATTAAAAGGTTTCCATAAAATAAAACAGGTGCACTAAAAAAGATCTATGTACAACCTTACTACATAATTGGGGAAATGTAAATTGAAAATCACACACACCCATCAGATAGCAGGAAAACAAAAAAATTAATGTCCATGATATTTTTTTGTCTAGATGGCAAAAATTTAAAAGTCTTACAATACCAAGTATTAATGAGGATGTAGAACAATAAACTTTCATATTCTGCTAACAAGAGTGTAAACTGGTACATCTTTGGAGAACTCTATTCTCAGCAGAATAGAATTGAACATGTGCAAACCCTACAATCCAACAATTCCACTCCTAGGTGGAATTAAAATAATGCTTAAAATAATGCTTAAAA